TTCTTAACAAATAGAAATTAATTTGCTTAGAGTATTACTATAAAAACAAAACTGCAATTAAAAAAACCATTCTCAAGACCATAATTGTAAGTGAAATAAATCAGACATTTAAGTTTAAATCTTGCTGTTTTTCTCTTATGTAAGAAACACAAAGTATATCTAAGGAGTAAAATAAAGTATAGGATAGATGCTAGGAGTAAGGAGAGCTTTTTCAAATGAAAGGGGAAGTAAGAAATGCGGGGAGGACAGCAGGAAAGGAAAAGGGATTTAGAGAAAAAAATTGAAGGAAAGCATGGAAATAGAGCTTTTGCAAATGATGAGGAAAAAAAGGATTGGAGGGCAGGGAGAGGAATGGGACAAAAATGAAAAGAATTATGATGTGTTATGCACGTGTACAGATTCCCCATGATGAATGTGATCATTATGTACTGCAAACATTCACTAAGGAAAAAAATACCTGAACTAACAATTTAATTTAACAAAGTTACAGGATGATAAAGTCATTATAAAAACATTTCCATATACTCGCAGTGACTGGAAAATGAAATTAAAGCATATAATTTATACAGTAAAAAAGCATAAAATATAAGGAAATCTTATGAAGGAACAAGTCGTGAGAAATTATAAAATATATCTGAGAGAAATTAATGGAGAGAGAAATAAATAGAGAGATATAGCTTCTCCAATATTAAAAAACCTGAGCCCCATACCAAATTTTAGCAGGGTTTTTGCATTTGTTTTATTTTGCTTGGCAATTGATAATTCATGGCTAGGGTTGTAGCTCAGTGGTAGACCACTGCCCAGTGTGCCTGAAGCCCTGGGTTTGATCCCCAGCACACCAAAAAAATCTGATAATTCAATTCTGAAATTTATGTGGAAATGCAAATGATTTAGAATAAACTAATACTACAAAGCAATAAATTTGGATGACTTACAGTACCTAACTAGTGTCATGAGATAATAATTAAAGTGATGCATAATAGTATGAAAATAAGCAAATCAGTTGGTGGAATAAATAACCTATAAATAAACCCATTATAGGTCTGTATTGATATAATGGGGGAAAGAAAAAACTTTTAAACAAAATCTTATAATGTTGCTGGAAAGTGCAATGTAAAAATACATAATTACTGTATGACATTGAGTGCAGTCACCTTCAGTATCCTTGGGGATTAATTCCAGGATTAGCCTCCCAAGATACGAAATCCTTAGATGCTCAAGTCCTTTCTATAAACTGGTATAATATTTGCAGATGGCCTCTGTTCATCCTCTCAAATACTGTATATCATCCTAAGATTATGTATAATACAATGTAAATACTGTTTAAACAAATATACAGTATTGGTTAGGGAATAATGACAAAGAAAACAGCCTGCATGTTCTGAGTACAGACGCAGAATTTTAAAATATTTCTCTCCATAGTTTGTTGAATGTACAAATGCAGAACCAACAGATACAGAGGCTAATTGTACATGAAATACAAGCTGATCTGTAGTAACTAGTTTATACTTGCTTCTGGGGGGTGGGACGATGGATTGCCAAGGAGAATAAATGATTGTTCTGCAGTTCTGTATCTGTGGAATGCCAGATTCACAGATGTTTACAATTCTCAAAGCTCATTGAACTAAAAACTTAAAATTATGTTCATCTTATGTTACACTTTAGAAAATGAAAATGAAAACCTCATGAGCATGAGCTATGCAGGTACTCTAAAGAAGAGGAGCAGTCTAGGTATAAGAGGACAGGAAACCATGAGTGTAGCCTCTTACAATATGGTGGCCAACATTCTACCCTAGCCACTTGTCACATCTGGGACCTGAACTCAAAGTTTCCTGACCTTCTGAGCCTTTCAGTTAAGCCTAAATTCTTTGTTTTGTTTTGGTTTTTTTGCTCATAGATTCTTTTTTGTTATTAAATGTTATAATCATTGCTGTCATTTTTTTACAAAAATTGTGTACATTGCCGATATTAACATTATGTTTTGATATACACTTAGCCTTCCTTATCTAAAGGGCCACATCCGTGGATTCAACTAATCTTGGATGGAAAACAGTGAAGAAAAAAATTGCATCTGTACTGAACATGTGGTCATTATTCTCTAAATAATATGTCATCACAACTATTTACATAGCATTTACATTGTATTAGGTATTTTAAGTAACCTAGAGATGATTTAAAGTATTCAGGAGGATGTGCATTGGTCAAATGTTAATAGTACACTACTGCATATAAAGGATTTGAACATCTGAGGATTTTTGGTGTCCTTGCCTGGGCCTGGGTCATAGAACAATACCAATGGAAGACTGTATTTATACACTGTGAAATGATTGAATCAATCTGATAATATACATGATTATATATATGTATATATGTTTTCATCTCATATTTTATGAGCATATTTAAGATCTATTCTCCCAGAAATTTTCAAGTATATCATATATTTAGTATAGTCATACTCATCGGTAGATCCCTATAATATTCATCCCATGTAACTTGAAATCTTTACTTTCATGTCATATCCCTTAATTTTATAAGTACTAGACTCTGATTTTTTTAAAAAAAACTAAATATAAGAATCAGGAAAATGTTTACAGAGATGGGATCGTAGGAAATAAATGGCAATAAAGATCTGTAGATACTAGTGGATTTTTTTCTTTAAATTAATTAATACATACTTTTAACCCAGTCTTTGTGTTGATAATCCTGGGTATAGTGGGTCCAGTTGATTTTACCAGTGCTTGTTCACCATATGGTAGCCACTGAGTTATGTGATTAAAGGGGGGAATACTCTCATTTAGTCTGTATTCATCATAACAACTAACTTTGAAGAAGACATTCCGAGACATTGGCAGAGATAGCACCTAAACCCAGGGCATTTTTACCTACATCCTGTGCTTTGAACTCCTGGTTCTCCATGAGCATCAGGGAGCAGGTTTACACATAGAATCAATTTAGACCACTTTGGTTGAACTCTGTAGGCTGTAGAATTGTGCATATTAGGATATGGTGGTTGATTTTGGAACATGTTTAATTACTGTAAACATTAGAATTTCATTGTTGGTGGGAGTGCAGACTGGTGCAACCACTATGGAAGTTAATGTGGAGATACCTCAAAGGATTAGGATTAGAGGTTCCATTTGACCCAGCCATCCCTCTGCTGGGTATCTTTCCAAAAGAATTAAAAGAATCATTTCACAGTGATATATGCGTTCCTGTGTTTATAGCAGCACAGTTTGTAATAGCTAAAACATGGAAACAGCCCATTTGCCCATCAGTTGGAAACTGGATAAAGAAGATGTGTTTTTTCCAAAAACGGGAATACTACTCAGCCATAAAGAATGAGAAATTAGAGTCATTAATAGGAAAATGGATACATATTGAGGACATACTCCTAATGAAATAAGTAAGTCACATGTGTATAAATACCGAGTAGTTTCCCTGGTGTGAAAAGCTATAATGGTACATAAGATCCTAGTGATATAAATGACAATGTGAAATAGGAAGAAAATGGTTTAAATGTGTAGGGGAGGTGGGTAGGGTAGGGGAAGGGTAATAAGGGAAAAAAATAAGAAAATGAAAAAATGGAAATAAAGTATTTGTAAATAAGGAAGGAGACAGGGGTGAAGGGAGGGCAGGGACAAGGGTAAAAAATGAGAACCAAGACCTGTCCCAATGATGAATGTAACTGTACTGTATACCTAAAATGTACCAATAAACTCATGAGGAAAAAGAGAATTTTAATTTATATAACTACAGATATTAGAAATACTTTAGTTTTAGCCTATTAACTTAAATTTTTAAAAGTTAATGGCGTTGATTCACCAAAATGCACTATAAGCATGTTTTTTCTTACATTTATTTATTTTTTCCTAAGAGCAATTGAATCTCATGTGTTGGCAGTGCTGTAAGACGTCAGAAACAAAAAGTTGAATGAGACACAATTCCTATGTTCAGAGAACTTTAAAACAAAATACTATAGTGAGATTAAAATAATTTATATGGTGATACTGATTTAAAGACCTGTTAGATAATTAACAGTAAATGTTGCTGTTTTACCTTTAGAGGATTATTATTTTTGTGACTTTTTCCATAGGGTTCAGGCTTTGATTTTCCTAACATCAGAAGAAACTGAATCTAATATACTTATATCTGTAAATTATTCATTTTGTAAATATTTAGGTTGCTCCATGTTTTGTGCTGTCTCTTGGGAAAGTAATGATATAGCAAATATGAGCTTTGACCTCACAGAATGTGTTGTCTGGATAATTTATTGATGGGGCCTTGCTTTTTTAAAAAAGTACTACTGAATATGCCTTGTTATCTACTTACATTACTGCCTTGCCCTTGTTTTATTTTCAGTATCTATTGGTATATTCAATATTATGTCGCTGATGCACAGGGTTAAGTTGTACTGTTTACTATTGTGAAGCAGGAAAGAAACACTATGAAATAATCAAGCTTCTATCATAATTTAATAATAGCTTCTTTCATTTTTTACAGTGAACCAACCATAGAAAACTTTGCTCTTTTTGCATTATTATGAACCTCATGGTACAGATTTCTTCACGATGTCTTTATGTGTTCAAATCTTAAATTCTATTACTTCTCTGCTTGTGATTCTTTCTTTAAAATAATACTATTGTAGTATCTGAAATATGTGTAAGATAATTGCTGCCCTTTTCACATCACTTTTATGTCTTTCTTCTGCAACCCAGACCAGTAATTATCGATGCACTGAAGGAAGCACTTGGTAATTTAGGTAATTTAAATGAGACAGTCCTCTGTTTGTGACATGTCATTGTTGAAGCTGAAATTGATAGAAGTTTCTATTTCATTGTGTAATTTTATGTATTCTTGCTATCATGATTAGTTTTTAAACATGAAAAATTGCTACTAGCCACTTTATTCAAGCTATTTACTTAAAATGATCATTTTGTCAGGAATAGCCTTTTCATGGGTAGTACAAAATGGTCATGAAATGTCATCTTTTTTCTTTTCAGTTTTGAGAAATGGTGCTTGGGAAATTGTTCACTGGGAAAAGGTATGCACTGATTTTTATTTGTTCCAGGAAAAGAAATACATAGAGGTGTATCTAGTATATGTAATTTTTGCATGTAATATAAGTACATCTCAAGAATTCCACTGGTATGAAAACATTTGAGTTAAGTTGTAAACATACATGGAGTCTTCAGTTAGTCATATCCATTTACTATTTCAAAAGAAATACCTAGAACTTTTTGTTTCTTTCATAGTATATTTTGAGTACTGTTTTCATAGATTTTATTTAACCATGAGCTGTTTTGTGTTGTAATTTTTTGTTAATCATCTACTGTCCAAGTAAAAATAAGAATTATTTCATATTGTATTTCAAATTCATATAGTGAGGTTAATGATTTATGTAAAGAAATAATTCGTTTTTAAAAACATCACTTTCTAATGAACCAGAAATCGGTTCCATAACATCAGAGGTTCATTTGCTCATTGAACCACCAACATGTTAGTGAATTGAGTCATAATTTAACAAATGTTATCCTGGTACCGTTATTTTCAGACTTCACTTTCAAAAGGTAAGCAAATATTATTCCCTTCATTCTGGAAGATTTAGCCATTAGTTATCCACAAGTGACTTGTGTTTGTAACCTTGGGAGATGGCTTTTTGGAGGCCAGTCTATCTGAGAGACTTTGTTTCCTGGGATTTTCAGGACACTGGAGGTGTATCTCACAGGACAGTATCTTGTTAGAACAGTATAGGTATTACCTACCCTTTAGTCAGTTCATTTGCACTCCGTTATTCCTTGGCCAATTTAAATTCGTGTGTTTGATTCTACCTTATGATGTTCATGGTCACGCTGTATCCCTACAGGATAGGATCCCTTCTCAATAAGAAAGTAACTGCATTTTTGTTGATTTTTAAGTGGCCAGAATAGAAACTGACATCTCTTTTGAATAATTGAAAACTTATCACTCTCTCATTTGGTCTTTGACATAAGAATAAAAAAGATGATAATACTTTGTGCTTTTTTTCTATGAGAGTCATCTCTGTTTTCAGCAGAGCAAAGTAAAACACAAGAAAACTAAAGCACTTTCCTAGTAAGTTTCTTTTATGGGCTTTTCTGGCACTTGTGGATTTAAAAATTTTAGAGAGAAGACAGGATATAATCACATATGATAAACTGAATTTATATTGTGACTACTTGGGTTGTTGGTGTAGTTAACATACATGCACATCCTAACAAATTAATATACCAATTGCTTATCTTCTTTCTTAGACTGCTTGCTCAAAAAAGTCAGGATCTGCTACCTCACTGTAAACTTAACTTTTGATGCTTCTTATTTTCCTAATATGCAGTCATTATTTCAAGATTGTGTTAATTATACATGGATTATTGTTAACTCTTATAATTTTTGAGGAACAAAATACTGGATCACCAGCCCTGGTTATCCCAAATGATACCATTTTTTAATCACCTTAGAGAGCACTACTAGAGGGATAGAATTTAAAGTGTTGCCCAAAGTCATTTAGCTAAAATAAGCTGAAATTATTTAACAACTAGAATTAGTTAATTAATTAGAATTGATAAACTTTGGTTCAGTGATTACTTCAACATAAATATTCAAAAATTAACAGCATTCTTATGTTGACAGTTTCAAGTCAGAAAGCATAAGGTAAAGAAATTTTATTCTCACTTATGTGTGGGATGCTTACAAACAAATTTTAAATATATTTGACATTTGTAAAGAAAGCATCTGTACTTTAGGTGTTAAAGATTCACATAAATACAATGACATATTCCTTGAGAAATTAAAATAAAACATCAGTTATTCCAAAATAATAATATAATCCTAGGGAAATTACTATTTTTCTCAAACATTGATTAGATTATTAATCTGATTTTTTAAAAATAACCAGTTGAGGAAAAGTGAAGAATATTGTGCTAGACTAAACACTTAAAATAGAAAGAAGTTAATAAAATAGTGTGTGTCTGTTTCAAAAATAGGCATTGATGGCTAGAAAGTATGATAGAACTAATATAAAAAAATACAGTGCCCTGAAATAAAACCTGTTTAATATTTGATAAAACAGGCAAAATAATTGGTAAAATGATTAATTAATTATGTATTATAGATTAGCAGTTTTAAGAAAAATACTTGAATATAAAATTATATCTAAGCCACCACCTATGATAACAAATTCTAACTGGCTGAAACAATTGTTAGAACATTGTTTTAAAAAAGGCATACAAATAGAATAAAGATTTTAATAAAATTTGAAGCTCTCAAGCTTAAGCAATTTGATTATATAAATTTTTAAACATTTACACAGCAAAAGTCTGCACCCAGTCAGGTAAATGATTGAGATCATTGTTATTTGGATGAGAAATAAGAGTTGGCAATAAATAAGAAGAAATATAATAAGGAAGCCAACAGGCATATTAGTCAACCTAATAGTAAAAGTCAGAAATTTAAACAAAATGAAGTCTCATTTGCTGTGTTTTCAATAAATAAAAACAAATATACTTGTACTTCAAAATTTTTATTACGTATTTCACGTGCATATTATCATGGATTGGCCATTTGGCTATTTATATTAAGAACCATAAAAAGGGAGTTCTGGGAATTTACCCCAAGGAAATAATAATAAAGTAGGAGAAAAACTTTACACATATAAAAGTTTATACTTTAATGTATTTATAATAAAATTAGTATACGTGAGACACAATAGGGAAACATTTTCTAATTCTATACTCTTGTATATTATATGACAAGTAAATGTTGTGATTTTACAAGCTGACAGTACACAGACCCAAAATGCTATGATTATTCAGCAGATTTTTAGTGTGTGTGCCAAGCAGTGAGCACATAGGAGAGAGCAATACCTATCAGGGCTCCTGTGTCATAAATTGAGAGATGAAAAGAACAGGTCCTGGTATACTGAGATGCCAGCTGCAGGGGTTTTTTTGTTCATTTGTTGTTTTTTGTTTTGTTTTTTAATGGTATATGTAACAACTGGACAGGCACAAAAGCAAATTTACTTGTTGCATTAGCCTGATAATCATGGCAGATCTTTTCCTTGGCTATATAACATTTTGTACAAGTAAAATGAAATCATTAAACCAAAGCCTAGTGCCATCCACATGCCAAGGTAATATGAGAAACCTTTCTCTGCCATTCCAAATGTGTGGCCACTGTGGTTGCTTTTGAATGGGCCTCTGAGGACCCGCAAACTTGCACAGCACATATCGAACATTAATATAGTTTTTCCCTCCAGTTACTGCCCTGCAGTATTTTCCTGTTGCAAAATATTAAGTTTCAAGAATTCAATTTTAAAAGAAAATATTGTGATTAAAAAGCCCCACATGAGGAATTACATCTCTACTCTTGAAATGTAAGCAGCTGGCTTCATTACCCTCACCACAAAAATTAGTTCTTTACATTGAGATGCAGCTGGGACTGCAGGTTTTGGGGATACAATGCAGTTAGACAATTCAGATGAATAATGTTGAAATTAATGTATTTTTCTGGTTTAGTTGAGAAGCATGGCATGCTGGGTTGTATGCATGCATGAAAATCATCTGTAAAGTCACTTTAATGCATGAAGTTTCTACCAGGAAATGTACTTACTTGTTTGGATTAAGACTATATATCTCAAAAAAATCTGCCAAGCATGGTGGCACACACCTGTAATCCCAGCACTCTGGGAGGATGAGCCTGGCAGATTGCAAATTCATACCCAGCCTGGATAACTTAGCAGCTTAGTGAGAGACCCTATCTCAAAATAAAAAATAAAAGAGCTGGGAATGTAGCTCAGTGCAAAGGCCCTGGGTTCAATTCCAAATACTGCCTCCCCATCCCTTAAACAAATATAAATATGCTGAGACCTAGAATTGGACAGTTTGATTTTTTTGTACTTTGATAATCTTTTCCTTTTTTCTTAATTCTCACTGCTAATATCAGTGACTTAAGAAAGTTCAAGGTAGTGGACCAAATGCTCTTACATTTCTATCTTCCCTTTGGTATTTTGGGGCTGAAACGGCTTTGTCATGATGTTTCTCCACCTGGGATTTGTGGTCAAAGCCTTTCTGCCATCTGGGCCCTTTTTTGTCTGTACCTCTTACGCTGGAAAGGAGCTCAGAGCCAAAAATGGAAGAGAAGGGCTTGATTATCTTTGAGAAATTGAAAACATAGGCAAGTAAGTGTCCGGCGTTCTTCAAGTAATGCAATACCTACTAGCACTTGGGTGAGTCCATAGTACCCACTAGGGTGACTACAGTGTACAATATGAGATGTTAATACTTTCTTCAGTTTAAAATCACAAGTCCTTTTGTCTTACAGTAAATAAAGATGTTGAAAAGCAGTGGCATCAGTTAGGGATTTTTGTAAGTCTAATTACTTCAATTCCTAACTCTCTGATGAGCACAAATGTGATCCCAGTTTTATGAAGCATATAGTTTAATTGGGGAGGAAGCATTAACATACACTAAGTTGTGAAAGAACAATTAAATGATAACCCGAGTAGCATTGTAAATGCCAGACTTACAAAGAATTTATATTTTATCATCTTGTCAGTGAATGCTATGAAAGTATTATCATAACACATTGTTTTAGAGTCCAGTTTACATTTATATTTCCAGGTTTTAATTTTTCCTATTGGCACCTTTTTAGGTAGAGAATGTTTGATTCTAAGGTCCTTGACAATTTATTCATTTCAGATAACTCAAATTTCAGATTTCAGCTAAAATAAATCATTTTGAATCAAGGGATCTTGAGCTTTACTACCTCAGTAATAAATATACATATCGAGGACTAGAAGACATTTCCCCTTCCTCTTCCTTCCAGTAAGAACAGAATAGGCTCTCTGCAACAGTTTATTATGATTTCCACTAAGGATTCTTTCCAAATAATATATTCTTTTAGAATTCAAGGAAAAGTAGAGAGTGGGAAAAACAAAAATGGCTTTCCTTCCCTCTGCTAGCTGCAGAAATTTATTTTTTAAATTTGTCTGTTATGAGAGAGAGCACCAGGGGCCAGGATTTAGCTCAGTGACACTGCCCCTGCCTCACAAGCACAAGGTCCTGAGTTTGATCGCTGGTACCAAAAAAAAAAAAAAAAAAAAAAA